GGGGCTCTCCCACCGTCATCTCACTAGAACAAAAGATGATCCTTTCATGAAGAGAATGAGAAATGTCTCATGGGTTCTTCATCAACCAGGGGCCAAAGACCAAATATTAGAACAAAAAGTTCTCCTAGTGCCCCTATCTACCCGGGTTTTAGGAGCTGTATGTCAGGAAGTAGGGATGAAAACCAAGTATGTATTTCTTAATATCTCACATGTGTGCATGGGGTGGCAGGCAGTGAGTGTCTATGGAGCTGGTGGGGAATCCCCCAGCTGGTGAGTCCGTGTGAGCCCTTCAAACCCTGAGCATGGCAACTGCGCACGGAAAAGTCTCTTCAGGATATCTCGGTGTCTCAAATTAATACTCAGTTTATTAAAGTTACAGACCACCAAACCTAGTTATTCTAAACTTTAATGTTCAATGTACAAATTCTACATTTGTTTATAGACTTAATAAATTTTAATAATAACAGGTTAACCAAATGAATGTCAATATAAAAACATCCTTTTAAAAACATCAGTGACATTTACAAATGTAGTTAATGAAATTCCCATAAACATGTTATTCTGCTTTTATAAATTTTTGTTTGTTTTTTACTTCAAAATTAGTTTCTGATACATGGCTTGAGTCGATGTGTAAATGTGCCCATAACCCATATACTGTTCACTGTACTGGTTAGCTGGGTTTTTGCCCTTCCCCTCCTCTCCGGAGACTTTTACTTTGCTCTATGTACTTGCGTGCCCATCAGTGAGTTCCAATTTATTAGAGAGTACATGTCGTGTGTGTTTTTCCATTCTTGTGATACTTCACTTAGGATAATGGTCTCCATTACCTTCGAAATTATTGGAAAAGGCATTAATTCATTTTATCGCCTAGTAATACTACCACGATATACATATATCATATTTTGTTAATGTACTTATGAATTGATGGGCATTTTTGTTGATTCCACATCTTTGCTATTGTGAATTGTGCTGCAATAAACATTTGAGTTCAGATGTCTTTTTATAAAATGAGTTCTTTTCCTTTGTGTAGATACACAGTAGTGGGATTACTGGATCAAATGGTAGGTCTAATTTTAGTTCTTTGAGAAATCTCCCTACTGTTTTCCATAGGAGTTGTACTAGTTTGCAATCCCACCAAGAGTGTATAAGAATTCCTTTCTGTCTACATCCATGCCATCATCTAATGTTTTTGTACTTTATAATAAAAGCCATTCTAACAGGAGTAAGGTGTTATATCATTGTGGTTTTAATTTGCATTTCCCAGATGGTTAGTTATGTTGAGTATTTTTTGAAGTTTGTTGTCCATTTGTCTACCTTTTGAGAAAATTTTGTTCTTGTCTTTTGCACACTTTTTGATGGGGTTGATATTTTCTTGCTGATTTTATTTCTTTGTAGATTCCAGGTATTAGCCCTATATTGGATGGGTAGATTGCAAATAAATTTTTCTCATTCTGTAGGTTGTGTATTTACTCTTTAGCTGTGCAGAAGTATTTTAATTTAATCAAGTCCCATGTATTTATTTTTGTTGCTGCTGTAATTGACATTGTGGTCTTGATTATAAGTTCTTTGTGTAGACCAATGTCTAGAAGAGTTTTTCCTAAAATTTCTTATCAAATTATATGGTTTTGTGCCTTACATTTCAGTCTTTTATCCATCTTGAATTAATTTTTGTGAGTGGTGGGAGTTAGAGGTCCTGTTTCATTCTTCTGCATGTGGCTGTCCCAGTTTTTAAATGAACATTAACTCCACAGTGGTACTTCCTGGACAGTGTCTGATTTACATATTGTGGGAGAGGCTGCAAAAGCAGCCACAAGCCCCATGGAGATGGACATAGTGGAACCAGCAAAAGGTGAAGGGCTGGAAGGCTTAGAAAAATGGTCCTGATTAGTGATGATGACATTTCCATATGCAAACCTGTTTCCAGAAAAGGCACATTCCCATCCGTTCAATGCAATTGATCTTTCTCAAATCTTCCAATGGCATATTGCTTGGTAAGAAAGGTTTTCTGCATGTTTATTCATCTGCTCCTTCTTATTCATCAGAAGGTATTTTTCTATGCATTTCACATTGTCTATGATTACTAAGATGAAATTCTTGTACTTGTGATGCTTTCATTAACTCATACTGTATGCAAGAAAGTCCCAATGTCTCCTTCCAGTTCCACAGACAAAGCCCTGGGAAATTCCAGCTTTTAGTGTCAGGGAGATGAGGTGTAAATGGCAAGAAGACTGAGATGCAGCAGCTAGGGAAGAGGAATGAATGACCAGGAGATCACAAGGGTCGGGTCCTGGTGACCAAGAGAACATGGAACTTCAGGGAAGAGAGACTAGTCATTTGTTTCGAACACTGATAAATCCTGTAAGAGAGGGACTGAAAATGACCAATTGAATTCCCGTAAGTGGTATCACAGTGTATTTGTCAAAAATAGTTCTGGTAGCCTAGTGGAGATGTATCTTCATTGCAGAGAGTTCAAGAGAGAACAGAAGGGAGGAAGTAGAAACTGTGAGTGCCAAGGACTCTTTTGAGACATGTTGCAGTAAATGTAGAGGAAGAAATGGGCCTGCAGGAGAAAATGGCTACACTCGCTAAATCTTTGCCATTTCTGGCAGAATCTGACTGCCTGTCTCCAGTGACACCAGATGGGCTAATTTCCATAGGGCTTTTCACTTCTTGTTGTGACTGTATTCCCCTGACTTCCCAGCGACACTGTGAGCTCCACGAGGACAAGTTTGGGTCTGATAAGACCTTTGTTCTTATACTCTCTCCTGTTCACCTGCACAGGGTCACAATTTGCAGTTGCATGTGTATCACTACTCTGCTTCTGTTTTCATCTCCTTCAGTACTGGAGGTCACAGGGCCACCTCTGCTTTGCTCCCTGCTTGTGGATTTAGTTCCCAGCACATAGGAGTTCTCAGGGAGCTCTGGGGTTGCATTCATGGCCAATATATGCGTCAGCTAGGGAGGTATCTAACTTCTCTTAGACTTCATTTCCCTATCTGTAAAATGGGTAAAATAACAGTGTTTTCCACATACATCTGTGTGAGTTTTCAGGAGAATTGGAAATGAATCAGTAAGTGCTCTATGTGTTCATTAACTGAATAAGGGAACCTTAAGAACCGTAGGATGAAAGAATAGAAGAGTGAAGAAATGTCCTCTCAGAATCAGACTAAGTTCATGGACCCTCTCTGCCTTCTCAAGGTCCCCCTCCCACTGCCTCTCTCTGGCCCCTTCTCTCCTCTCCCACAGGAACACCAGAAGTCGTCCAAGTTACATAGCTCCACTGACCTATCAATTTTGGGGGGGTCCCTCTACCATGGGGATGGAGGAGGAGCTGTGTTATGCCTCCCTCAGGTTCCCTAGGATGAATCCTTTGGAGTCAATCGTCAGTGACTGCTCAGAGATCAGGACCCAGTGAGGTAGTGACAGGAGCATTGGACTGAGCGAGAAGATTCACATCCTCTATGGGAAAGAAGACCAAAGGCTGATTCATGGAGATTTAACTCCCCATAGTCAATGTGTTAATACACTGTGAATTTCCTGCTATATTGATATTATCTTTTGTTCCCAGAGGCCTGGGAACCAATCTATGCTCTTTTATATGCTGAGAGCATGACATTGGGTGAGCTACTTTCCCCTCCATGTCTCAATTTCCTGTTCTGCAAAATGAATGCAAGATGTCCTATCTCACAGGGCTGCTGTGAGGATTAAATAAGGATGCACATGGAAAACACCAGTCCTGGGGCATAGTGAGAGTTTCCTGCATACTGGTTACTTCTCCCTTAGTCACACTTTGTCCAAAGGAACAGTGTGGACATTCATATAAACTGTATCATCCATATGTGAGTCTCACTGGCTGCTCAAACTCCACCAGTGATCCCTTCCCTGACTTGCCCTCCCACATCATCGCCCTCCACTCCTATTTTGCTTCTTCCAAATTTCCTTATAATTTTCAAATAAGTATTCAATGAGCACCTAATATATGCCAAGCTTTTTTCAAGAAGGGCATACTGAGCAATAAATTTAAGAGACACAAAATCCTTCATGAAGCTTAATTTTAATAGTGTGAGAAAATGGTAAAGAATAATTAATTAGATGCTATTATGTTGATCAGTAATAACGAGTTTGCCCTAAAAAAGATAGTAAAGTTATATAGAGAATAGGGATGGATTCTTCACTATGTTGTCATGACCTCATCACTGAGAAACTGACATTGGAGTATGCACCCATGTACACACACACCATAGGCACTTACAGAGACACAGAACTCAGACATGCAGAAAAAGACCCGAGACACACATATATAGACACAGCCACACAGACACACACATATTTTAAACACACAGCACACAAACACACCCATATCCCAGATGCATGCTTATAGTCCACAGACATGCACAGAGACACAAACACACACATGCACATAGACACACACCACAGATATATAAACACTGACAAGGGAATCATACACACTCACATTACAGACACACAACAAGGGGCATCAGACACCTGGGTCCTGAGATGGCTCCTCCCTGGGATCTTTTCCCTGGGAAGACTGGAGCCCTGGTTCCCAGTCCAACCAGACCCAAAGCCCCAGCAGGAAACCAAAAACAGTGCTGCTGATGAATCTGAGCAACCACTTTCTGTCATCCGGTTGACCTTTTCGCTTTCAATATCCGCCCACTCTGGCTACTGATGTCACAATCTCCCTGTCCCCGCTGCTTGAGGTCCAGCGGATCCTGCTGGCCTGGCCACTGTGGTGCCGGCCTGTCCCTGCAGCAGCAGCTGCATCCACACTCAGACTGACCACTGGGAGTGGGCAGGGCCCTTGGGCTTGTTCAGGAAGGTGGGAACGGCTCTGGGCCTCAGGAAACACAGACATACAGGTGAGTCAGGGGAGAAGGGAAGAGTCCCCTGCATGGACACCAGGGAGTCCTGCTGGCCACAGAGCTGATCCGCTGGCTCGGTCTCCACCCCATTCCCCAAAAGAGGAGTAGGAGGAGATGGAGTGTGAGGTTCAAGCTTGGATTTCCTCGGACCCTGGAGCAGAGAGGTTGAAGAAGGTGTCTGAGGCCAAAGGGGTGAAACGGTGGGTGGGGCTGCAGCCCATCAGTACTGACTTAGGGATGACTGACCTGAAAACTGAATTTCTAGGAAAACCAATGACTGACAGTGTGAGACAATCACCTGGCACACACGGGAGGGGCGTGAGTAACCCCCGGTGCCCTGTCGGGACGGCCTCGCTAAGAGACCGACTTGGTGGGAGCCTGACTGACCGATGACAGGGCAGGATGGGCAGGGTGGATTATCTGATTAGCTGGTTTGCAAGTGACCCGGGCTCTGACCCAGGAGGACGCTCACCTGGTCCCTAACCCGGCCACCCACCTGGTCCCTCACGGGGCGGATGACCCGCTGCCCTCCGAGCTGGCCGGGCGCCCCGCGCGGTGCCGGGCTGAGGAGCACAGACGCGGCTGCTGTGAGCCACCGACGGTCCGCGGTGTGGCCGCACGACGGACGGGGAACCGGGCTCTTGCGCGACCAGGGCTCGGCCGCTCGGCTCAGGAGGTCAGTGAGTCCCCGCGCTGACGGAGGCGCCGCTCGGCCGGGCAAGCCCAGTGTGTGGAGCCCCAAGGCAGGTCCCTCACCCGACGAATGCCGGGGACACCAGCAAGACGGCTCGGGCCCCGTGGGGCCAGTCACTCTGTGTCCCGTGTGCAGCGAAGGCGGCGTGGACGCCCAACTGTCACTGTGGGTTCTGCCAGGGAGCCTCACAGAGAGCGCGTCCGCCCCACAGCCAATCAGGGGCTGCATAGGCCTACTTTAGCCAATCGGCAGCTGGATGCTCCTCCTCAGCCAATCAATAAGGCAGATGGACTGTTGTGTACAAGGCGACGTGCCTCTTGGAGCTGAGACTCAGCTGCGAGAGCGAATCAGGAGCTGACAATGCAAGTCCCTCCCCCCATTGTGAGCCCAGCAGAGTCTTGAGGGCTTGGCCAATCAGAAGCCGTGGGCGGGGCCATGGGCGTTCCTGTGCGCATATTCGTTTCAGCCAGGGCTCTGTGGACCAGGCAGTAAAGTAACACTACTGTCCCCCGTGACTTCCCTGTCCTCTCGATTGACGCTGCTTTGTTTCCTCTCACGGTCCCCACTGCGCACCTTGGAACACTTCTTCCTACTCAATTATACTAGGACGAGAGCTCGCTGTGGGCAGAGTGTTGTCATTGCATTTTCTCACTCATGTCTCCTCCAGGGTCGCTGGCTCCGTCCGTGCTCGCTGCTGTGGGCTGAGCGCGCGTCCCCGACAGCCCTGCTCACCTTTCTCCTCCCCGCTCACCTGTCCCGGCTCCGGCAGGTCCTCACTCCCTCCCTGGGCTCCCGCTGGCTCAGCCCGATCACTGTAGGCGGTGACCCTGTCTCTGCCCGCTGGCACCGCGGGTGCCCCTCCAGGGTCGGCCTGACCCCACCTGGCCCCCAGGGACTCCCCTGCACAGGTGGGAGCCCGCGCCCAGGCTGCGGGAACAGTGCGGGCCACGGCCAGCAGAGGGCGCTGTGGCGTCGCGGGGAGGGGAGGGCGAGTGTGGCGGGGAAGTCCCAGCTGTGCAGAAGGCAGAGCTGGTGCAGGAGGAGCCCCAGACCTCTCACTTCCCTTTTCTCCTTCCACCCTCTCAGCCGCCCCATCTCCCAGACTGGCCGCTGAGCAGTGTGTGGCCTGCGAGGTCCACTGTGGGCCAGACCAGGCTGCTCTGAGCCTGCATTGCAGGAACACAGTGAGCCCTCTTGATGACTCCGTGTAGACTCCCTAGGGGTGGGGGCGAGGCTGGGCAATCCTCACTGCCCCACAGGGAAATCCTGACTCAGGACTTGAGATTCGGGCTGGAAGTGCCAGACAGGGACAGTGCAGGAGGGCCTGAGTGACTGTGCGCTATTGCATCTTCAACACAACAGGCTCCCAGTATGACTGTAGCTGAATGGGAGTCAGGTATATAACGCAAAATGTCCAGTAGTCATATTATAATATCAGAAAGAAACATGTGAGACCGATTTTAATTGTACCCAGGGGACAGATGCTGGTGAGGAACCACCCAGGGCTTCTGGCCTGCTGTTGAGCCCAAGTCCTGTCTGGGGAAGGGACACTTCACACACTTGTTCTTATGGAGTAAATGTGTCTCTCCTTAATAGTTGAGAAATTATTTCTGGGACTTCTCTTGTATAGGAAAAAAAAACACATGTGTTAGAATGAGGGAAGCTTGGATTCAATCTTGATTACTAAATCACTTCACCTCTCTGTGCCTCAGTTTCCTGCTTGCTAAGTCAGAAATAATAAGTGCCAGCTCACAGGGATGGTATGACTTGTGCAGATCATCCTATGTGTGTCTTAGTACAAGGTGTGGGTTCCTGAGTGCTAGGTTCTTACCCCTCTGGTAGGAAGTTCCTGGTGTCAACGTACTCTGATGCCCGGAGTGCCAAGTCGCTTAGTGTATTAAATGAACACATGACATTTTAATAACAGGAACTAAAATTTTCACCAGCAACAACCAAAACCAGTGTCCAATAAAACATAACGCCATATACTTCTAAATAATTCAGATAGGAAAGAAATTCAAGGTTACACCATGGCTCTAAAAATTCTATGCCCCAAAATACTTACCTCTTCTCTAGAAGAAGGACTTGGAAGGAAAATTGAGCTGTGAAACTCTGAAAATGGTCACTGAGACAGTCGATATGCACATGTGCTCACTCACCTGGTGGACAGACCGGGTGAAATCAAAGACTAGAATTCCATAGGAGAAGCCGTACAAACCACAGCCGTACATGTCACAGGGTTAGCAGAGCTAACCGCCTTCCTCCACCCAGTTTTTAGTTGGGATTACTGAGAAATCCCACTCTAAAAAACATACCCGGCCACAGTGCGTGTGCATGCTAGAAGATATGTTCACAGCAGCTTTTCATCAAAGCCTGCAACTGGAAATTATCTAACTAGCTCCCTAAAGTAGGAGGGTTGGATCCTGTGTGGCACAAACACACATTGCGATTCTTTCAGCAGTGACAGTTACTGACGTGTGAACTAATGGGGAGAGAGCTTACAAGAGTGAATACAAAAGTCAGAGGCAGAAGAGTACATACAGAAAGGTTGTGATTATGTAAAATAAAAATCATCACAGGGTTTGCTCTGAGGGGAGGGGCAGGAACTAGGAATGGGGGCTGGGGCTTCCTGGTCTGCACCACTGTTACAAGAATGTTTCCATTTCATGAAAATTGACCAATAATATGTGCATGGTCTCTACAGCAGAATAGTATGTTCTGCTCTAACATCTTTAATTATCACACAAATAAATGCTAATTAATGATAAAATTTAGATGATATAGAAAAACTATAGGAAAATCATAATTAACTTTGATCACTTCAAGAAGAACAAAACAACCCAAATAACCCTTTATTACTAATGATTGATGTTATTTAGCTAATATTCATCTACGGATCAAATCTGGATTTTCTTTCCCATGATTGCAAGGCAGAAAATCAATTTCTATCACACTTTTCCAGGTAAGAGGGCAGGAGCGCAGTGTGATCCTAGGGGGTGTTTGCTGTTCAGACCGTGCTGTGGGCTGAGGGGGAGGAGTGGGGAAGCCAAGCTCCAGACCTCCTGTCTCCGGGCAGCGTGGCTGCGCTTCCTCATCGTGCACAACGACTGTTTCGTCTCACACTCGGTCTTTGTGTTTTCTCTAGTTTTTTCAGGCCTGTTACTCCTCCCGGTGACTGGTGACAGACAGTCCAGGACGCCTGTGTCTGGTGCTGTACCGAGTGGACTATCTCCTCTGGCGTCTGCCTGATGCCTCCCCCACTTGCTGCCTCTCCAGCCTCCTCCTGCACCTGTTGTCACCAGTCCCAGACCCCTGTCACCAGGCAGAATGCAGGACTTATCCCAGATGCCTCCTTTTCCACCCACCGTGATCAGGACTCGGGGTGTCCTGAGTCCTTCATTCCAAAAATTGTTGCCCTTCAGCCCTTTCTCCTTCCCTCCTTGCCTCATCCCCTCCCTCCATCCCCACGTCCTTTTCTGTCCTGGATAAGGTGCCCTCCCCCCCAGCCCCTCCCCTCATGCTGTGCCCCTCACAGCACCCAGGCCCAAAGAGAGTTTCCTGCACCCACAGCTCACCGTGCTGTTCCCTGCTCAGAGCCCCCCATGCTCTCCCAGCACCCTCAGCTCACCATGTCCCAGCGTGTCCCCCTGGAAGATCCAGGATATACTTGCAGGTCCCTTCACCTGCCAGGCTGTCGCAGTGCCTTTCTTCTCTTCTCCACCCAGGATGCTCTGTGACAACTCCCCCTCCTTCCACCCTCAGCTCAGCCTCTTTCCCTCCAGGGGCTTTCAGCTTTGTGAACTCATGGACTGTTTATTCATGAGTATGGGTCAAATATGTGCCTTCTGTGTGTCTTTGATTTGGGGTAAGGGAGAGACAGGCCTCTCAGCTCAGCCTCCTGCTCCTTCTGTCTCTCACCCAGCCCTGAAGACCCTGAGCAATGGCACGTCCCTGCCCATCAGGGGGGCCAGTCCCTGCGCCTGGTGAGTGTGGCTGGCAGTAACCTCTGCCACACTGAGGTCCCAGGAGGCAAAAGCCCTGAATCCTCCCCAGCTCTCAGCACCAGGGCCTTGGAGCTGCCCCATGTAGAGGATGGAGAGGCAGGTGCTGGTCAGGTGTTTGGGCTGTGGGAGGGGCTGAGGCCTGGGGGCAGATCCTCACCTCCTCTCCGCTTCCCCAGGGGCTCCTCTGGCTGCACATGTGTGACTGGGAACCACGAGGGCTCCTGGGTCCTTGGTCCTCACCCTGATGGGGGACCCCAATTGGGGCTGGTTTTCTCTTCCCCTGTGGCCTCACCTGGAGCTACTGCAGCAGGTTAACAGGCCTGCCTGTCTCCAGGGAAGCCCAGTAATGAGTTCCTGAGTCCCAGGTGGGGCTGAGCTGTCCTCACCCACCTGGAGCCAGAATTAAACTGACCAACTGTGACCGGAGACTCGTGTTGGCTATGCAGGTGTGGGGCCCCCAGGGGAGCTGGGCTGGGAGGCCTGACTCACCCCTCCTTCTCCAGACAGAACTGAGCTGCGGACACTGAGCCACGAGGGGCAGATGTGGGACATCACTGTTAGCTTCTCTTTGGAAACTCTCCACTAACACCCCACCGCCTGCCCCTTTGTGTCCTGTCTGCCCCTCTCCCCATGTATGTTCCTCCCACTGTCCTGCCCATCCCTGTTCCCTCCTGTTCCCTGTCCCAGTCCTCTGATGGCAGAGCAGACTTCAGGACCTTATGCTCCCACCACTCAAAAGTTACCTTGTTGCCAGGCGGGGCAGCACATTGCTGTTATCCTAGCACTTTGGGAAGCTGAGGCAGGAGGATTCACTTCAGGTCAGAAGTTTGAAACCAGTCAGAGCATGAGTGAGATCCCATCTCTACTTAAAATATAAAAATTAGCCAGGCATGGTGGCATCTGCCCGTAGTCCCAGCTACTCAGGAGGCTGAGGCAGGAGGATCGCTTGAGCCCAGGAGATTGAGGTTGCTGTGAGCTGGGCTGATGCCATGGCACTCTAGCCTGGGCAACAGAGGGAGACTCTTCCTTAAAGAGAAGAAAAAGAAGAAGAAAATAAAGTTACCTGTTATCACTATACAGTTTTCACCCAAACCTGGCTCATACAATTTTCACCCAAATCTGGTTCCTATAGTATATTAGATTTGTCATTTTTCACCCAAAATCTGCGCTTTGTATTTCTGCGTTTGTATCATCTACTATTGGCAAAGCCAGGCTCAATATTCTCAGGGGTTACTAATGTGAATGAGGTCATTCTGCATTGAGTGACAGCAGTCCCCGCCCACAGCATTTGGGATGATAAGGGGCCCCAAACTCCTGCTTGCTGTCCTGGTACCCTCCAGCTGCCCCTCCTGCTCCCTGTCCCCACAGGGCAGCCAGAGTGGACACCTGAAAACGCAGATGTGACAGTGTCACCCCCAGCCTCTCATACTTAAACAGCCCTTCCCTGGGCCCTATATCTCACCAAAATCATGTCAAACTAGGAAAGTGGCCCATGAGACTTTCCTATCTTTCCCCTTATGGCTGTATGAGTCAGTTTTCTGCAGAAAAACAGAACCCCTCCCATTATGGGGTACATATATGTACACGTGCATGTATGTATGTATGCACATGAACATTTATCCTGAGGGATTGACTCAGGTCATCTCAGAGGCCACGATGTCCCACAGTCTGCCACCTGGGAGCTGCAGGACCAGGAACGCCAGTGGGGTCAGTGTTGGTGGAGGGCAGCAGAAGGCGGGTGTTCCAGGCCCATGGAGAAGACGGGAAGAAAGGAATCCTCCCCTGCTCCAGTTTTAGGCTATTGAGGCCTCAGAGGTGTAGGCGATGCCCATCTACCCAACTGATCCTCTGACTCGTATGCTAATGTGGTCTGCAAACCCACTCACACACACAAATAGAATAGGTTTTATCTGAGCACCTCACAGGTCCATCAAGTTGAAACATGAAACTAACTGTCCCACTGTCCTAGGAGGCCGATGCTCAGCACGTGCAGACTCACAGACACACAGACAGACTCAATCTCTCTCACACATTCAAGATCTCTCACTCCTCTCTGTCTCTCACACCGGCACACTCACACACTCACACAGAAACACACACACCTGGACGATGAGCATTCTGAGTACTGAGGTGGTTCCTGCCCTTGGCCCTGGGAAGATGGGGATCCCATGAATAGGCAAATAGCTCTACGTGTCAGGTCAAAGGAAGCTGAGACAGTGTGTTAGGAAGAGCGGAATATTAGGGATGCCATTTTCCTGGATTCTTTGCATGACACTGCACACTGTCTTGGACACCTGTGTCATCAATGCATGTGTCACTCAATGATTCTCTGCTCCCTCTTTCCCAGCCTGTGGCTGTTCCCAGCAGCCTCCTTGCAGCCCAGCAGTTCAGCAGCTGCTATGCCTCGCCAATGAGATGGGCCAGCAATCAGCTACCATGTGTGATACCTGCAGTAGCACCTGGCCGTCCACTGGCACTCAGAGCCCTGTGGCTCCTGCTTCAATTTCCTTCTTCTCTTATGTCAACTTCAACCTGGAAGCAAATGGAGAAGGAGAGTCTGGAAAATGTGCTTTAATGCAGGCTTAGTTGAAGTGAAGACACTGAAGACTTTGAATTACCTTTGACAAGTAATCCGTAATCCTTTAAATACACCATGTAGATAAATTAGTCAGGAAATTAAACCCCCAACTTTCCGTTTCCCTATTAGCAATGATTTGTGTGGGCTAATGTTTTAGTTATCTACTGCCGCACATCAAACCATCCCCACATTCAGTGGCCAAAGAGATCATTTCACTGTATGTCACGGTGCTGCCGTTTGACTGGGACTGAGCTGGGCAGTTTCATTAGTAGATTTTCTTTGGACTCTTTCAGGCAGTTGCATTGAAGTCATGGCCTGGACTGGGGCTGGATGTCTGAAAGCTCAGTTCTATTCCATGTAGTATGTTATTTTTAGGAGTGCCCTGATATGCTCACATAGAGGCTTCAGGATCCTTAAGTCTAGGGAGGAATCTTCCAGGCCTGCTTACTGTCTGATCCACGGAAGTCTCAGAATGTATTGTCCTCCACTTTCTGTTTGTGAAAGCAGTTGTAAGCCCAATATAGACTCAAGAAGAGGAGACAATAATAATGATAAACTCCCTTGTGTAATGACAGGAACACTTTCTTTGCACAGGGTAAACTGACATTGTTAGGGGCTGTATTTGGAGACAAGTTCCTACAGCTGCACAGGCTCTGAGTGTCAGATGCCCCCTCTATCTGTTGAGGGGGTTTGCCTCTCTCAGTCAGGGATGTCAACAGCATGAAGTGGGAACATGTATGTAGAGGGGCTGCACAGAGCCTTCCCCTTTTCTGCCCTTGGAGCATGACAACAACCTGGCATTGTCCATCGGGCATTGCTGAGTGGGACAGAAGGACAAGGCACAAAAACACAGGCCAAACCCTCTCCCCAGTGCCTCCTTACAGAAGGACCTACACTCTCCCAGCACATCTGACATGTGGACTTCAACCTAGGGCCAATGTTCTGTGATCAGCCCCTCCCCAAGCTGCAGACAACTCCCAAATCAGGGCTCAACTCTGAATCAGCACCACGGACAGCACCTCCAGTCAGACTTAGAGATCTCCAGGAGCCAGAACTATCCCGGGCAGAAGGACGCCCCCTATGGGTGGTGACCTCTCCCACCAGGGCAGAGGTGGGGTTGGTGACACACAGAGGGCAGAGCTTGGTAGCTGCCTGAGGGTCTCTAGGGCAGTGGGAGGGTGAGAGGGATGGAAACACAGCACCTCAAAGTGCAGGGATTTCTGATTTCCTAGATAATCACACCCACAGTGACTGCCTGAGAGTCCCTACTGTGTGTCCTCTGCCTGTTCCTTCCTGAGATCTCACCCTCCACCCCAGAAGAGCAAGATCCCCCCATCAACAGTCTGTGCCTCCCCATCACAGCCAGCCACCCTCTGACCTTGGAAACGTCAGGTGATTTGTCTGTCTCCAAAGCGGATGTTGCTCTGTTCAAAGGCAAGGACTGGGTCTGTGCTATTCACGCCTTTCCCTGAAACATTGAGGCACAGCATTAATGCTTAGTGCCTGGCTGCTGAGCGAGTGAATGAATGAATGAAATCTCTTCCCTCATCTCATGGGAGAAACTTTACAATTCTTCCCTATCAGATTAACACAAGGTTCCCCTCTCCTGGCCCAGTCAGTCCGGGACAGACCAAGCTTGACCAAGTGTCTCATGAGCAGATAGTGGCACATGAGACAGGGCACCCATGGGATTTGGGAAATTCAGTGAGAACCTTAGTCCACTCAGGTTGCTATGAAAATATCATAAACTGCATTTTTCCTTTAAAGAATAGAAATGTATTTCTCACAGTTCTCCGTGCTAGGAAGTGCGAGATCAAGATGCCAGCATATTTGGTGTCTCCTGAGGGCCTCCTTCTCTTTGCGTTCTCAAATGGTGGAAAGGTAGAAACAAGCTTCCTCCATCTCTCCTATAAGGACACAAATCCCATTCATGGGGGCCCCACTGTCATGATCCTATCACCTCCCGAAGACCCCACCTTCTAAAACCGTTGCTTTGGAGTTAGGATTTCAGCATTTGGAACTGGGGAGAGGGGGCCACAGACACTCAGGCCGTAGCACTTGTCAGTCGGGACCTCAGTGTCTTCTGTCCACATTTGGGAAATGGGGCCAGAGGGCCTCCCAGGCCTCGTGGGTCATAAGTGGACCATATGTTCCTGTTTGGCACAGGGTTAGATTCTCTGTGGCGTCCCGATGTCTCATCTCCCTGTTTTGATTTTCTCATTTCAATTGCAAATTGGGGACTCTTGGAAACAGAGAAGCCACACACAGCCCTTCTGACCACTGCACTGCTGCAGCTTTCTCCCTTGGAGAGAGCCACTGGGCAAAGAAGAGGTCCGGGGTGGGGGCACAGGGGGAATGAGGCTGCAGGAAGTTACACCAGCTGGAAATGCAAGAATTGGTAGTGGGGGCGGCTGTGCCTGCTCACACCCTGCACTGTCCCTCCTCAGTCCTCACAGCCAAGGGATGCCCCTGGTTATGGGCAGTCAGAGCGCAGCAGGGGACAGGACCATCCATGAGGCCGA